CCTGAGTCATTTTCTCTAATATGCCCAACATACTATCACCGTATTTGCCTTCCATGTTTTCCTTCACTTCTGAGGAAGGTACCAAAGCGACTGGTTCAACCACTATCTCATATAAAAAGCAGATTGAAGCACTTCAACCATTATTAAACAGATAACATGATAAAACCCACATTTCCTTCTCTTTTCAAGTATTTACAACCTGCCATAGTTATCCCAGGACATGATAGGTCTACTGTCACACATTCCAGTCATTAATGCTCGATATAACTCCTAGAAATATACAGGGGGGTTATACATCGTAAATTACATCTCTACAGGAGGTTATCAAAGTTTTAGCCAACAAATTTCACATTACTTAAACACATATTTTGAATCAATCTCTTACAATACAAATCTCTTAAGACAAAGGCAAGTAGCTAGATCCGATAACAGAGATGTGCACCAGAAACTTATGTATTGGTATGCCTGTTTTTTAGGGCACATCCTCCAGACAGAATTCTGAAGCATGAGCAAAGTGCCCAGGCTTCCTACTACATGAACCAGAGTCAGACACTCAAGGACCACAGTCAGCAGACAGTTGCCTACTGACAGGCAATGGGAAGAATGAAGAGAGTCTTAAAACAGTCTGAAATCCATCCTTTGTGCATCTCACATTGCGTATTTATTCTTTTCCCCTCACTCAGGAATACACCTGGATTAAGTAAATATAAACTCTTCAAAGAACAGAATACAACTCATTTTTCCATGCAGTCACCACTAATGATGTGGGGATTTCTTTCCATGTAATAATGCAGACATTAAAATATTCATTCCCAGTGGTGGTTTAATTCCCCATCTGCTAGATTTGACATAAACCCTCCTCCCAAATAAGAGCTATAAATACTACCTGACTAGTAATCCTGTGTAGAAACATTCTCCGCTGCTCCTTTTAGAGAACAGCCATTGTGCAGAGAAGTAAGATTTATTGGGACAGACAGAACTGGTGCTGGATCAACTAGGTACAAGTTCACCTCTGCAATGATCTGCACATAAAGTTCACTCAACCAGGAAAGGCAACTACCCGTCTGCAGCCACCTCGTGGCTGACATTGGCTGAGACTAAAAAGAAATATCCTATTCCTCCTGCTTTATATATATATATATATATATATATATATATATATATATATATATATACATATATATATATATACATATATATGCATATTTATATATATATATATATCACCTTTCAGTAAGTATTTGGTAAATCATTTATCTGCCAGAACAGCGCTGGGAGCAGACACCAAACTCTCCCAAAGCAAGAGCCCTGCCACGAGGTGAGCCTCCCGCCCCGCGAGCTCGCAGCTCCTCTCCCAGCAGGGCTCCAGGACGCCTGCCTGGGATCAGGGCCCTTCTCCTGAGGTAACAACCTGCCCTCGAGAGGTCCCAGCCGGGATAAACGCCGCACACATCCTTCCGAACTGCCCTGGCTGCGGACGTGCACTCAGTGCAGGGGAGGAGGCTGAGCCGCCTCCACACAGCCCTGGCTCCCCTCCCCAGGGCGAGCAGGTTAGTCTGGGGTTTTTTTTTCTCCTCTCCGAGTGTCTTGTTACGGAGAGGCGCGGGAACAGCCACGCGTTCCTGTCCACGTCCCGCTGGCCAAAGTTACAGAACAACCTCCTCCGGCCCCACTGGGGGAAGGCTGCGGAGGGACCGGGACGAGGCGGAGCCCGGGCCGTGCCACGACCCGCCCGCCTCCCCAGTGTGACCCAGCCCGGCCCACGGACGCGGGAGCCCCAGGTCCCAACTCCCTTCGGGGCGCTCCCCACCATCAGCACCCACTCGTGTGAAACCGAGGCCCCCCACCACAACCCAGGTGAAGGAAGGGACAGCGAGGAGCTCGTTGTCGAGGAATGTGCCCCCCTGAGACCCAGGGGCTGCCGGCGGGCGGGACCGAGCTCACCGTCCCGGGCAGCCCTCGCTGGGATAACATCCCCCCTGGGCACCGGGTGTGCAGAGCTGGGGCAGAGCGACCCAGCTGTCCCGACGCGCCGCGGCAGCGAGCGAGGGAGACAGGCAGGATGCACCCGCGGCGGGACGCGGGCATCAGCCAGACCCTTCGTCACACCACCACCGAGACTAGTTGGGGGTTTTTTTGAAATTATTGTTATTTTTAAAAGTAACGCCTTTGCAGGAGTTTCTAAGGGGGTTCCCCGCCCCAGCCCAGGCTCGCCACTTTCCACCCCTCGATCTCCTCCTCCCTCACCCCATTGTCCCCCCGAGGTTCTGCTCCCGCCGCCGCTGGGGTGGCCGGGCAGGTGGGCGGGAAGCGTTCCCGTTCCCGCTCCTGCCCCGACCCCAGCCCGCCTCCCCCGACCCCCGAGGGAGTCGAAGCGGAGCTCACACCGACCTGTGCGGGCATCGGCCGCTCGTTCTCACGCGGGGCTGCGGGTGCTGAGGCAGCTGCGGGAGAGCCGCTTCCCTCCCCGCTGTCCGCTCCGCATCCGATAAGGCAAGAGGGGAGCGAAAGGAGGCGGGCAATTATAGAGCAGAAGGTGGAAAGAAGGGGGGGGGAAAGGCACGAGCGATGCCTGAGATCCCACCCTCCGCCCCCGAGCCCGACCCCCGCGGCGGGGGCGCGGCCAGGTGAGCGGGAGGCAGGGCCGGGGGGGCACGGGCAGTGTTCCACGGGCAGGTGCTGAGCTTGCCAGTGCCCTTCGTCTTCTGGGTTTGTTACCTGTTAACTCATTTTCCTCTCCCCGAAGTTCCTCATTCACTTCGTTTATAAATGATTTAGAAGGTGCCTATTCTGCAGTACGCCTTGGAATGCAAGTATCCCCCCACGCCAGCTATTGAGATGTGTGGATTAGTGATTCATCGGGGAAATATTTATATTAAAGTGTTCCAGCATTTGTCTGGCTTAGTATAAACCTTGATTAAAAGTGTTGTAGTGCATTTGTACATTTTTTGCCATATGCATGGACACTGCAGTGGTACATGGAATTGCAGAATCTATATTCCTGTAGAAATATGAGTTACTCTGTGGTATACCCTACTTAATTTACAATTAAGGCTACTACTAACGAAGTTTGTAAGTCCTGAGAATTTAAGAGGTGAATGAAAATATTCATTACAACATGCCTGGTCATCTGTGTAAAATTACAAATGAAACCTCCGAAGGACTGCAGTTAAGAAACAGGTGTAGGTGATATAGAGATGTGCATCTTTTCTTAATATAAATAGGAGCCCCTGCTAGGGAAAGAGAAGGCAGTAACTCTCAGGGAGATGATTTTGACTAACTGTAAACCAGGACCTTCAGCTGCTGAGTAGGATTCCCAGTCCTGCAGACTCTTTCCCAAGTTCACAGCGCACAGATATCTTTCCACTGAAACTGCAGAAGTGTTTGACCTTCAAAGCAACCCTTTTAATCCAGTTGTTTTCTACAGCAAAGGTTCAAAAGCACTCCCAGATCTAAAAAGCATTTACCAGATTCCTAGTTCCTGTCACTTGCAGTTATTCTACTGCGCTGCCAACTGTGTGCAATGGCCAATGATCATACCAGTCAAGTAGAGTAGCTCACTGATGCTAAATGTGATACAGTTTGTACCTTTTCAGTCCCCAACTTATGTATTTAGCTTAAAAGCAATTTCCAGAAAACCAGGAAATGGATCATAGAATCATAGAATATACTGTATTGGAACAGGATCATCAAGTCAAACTCTTAGCCCTGCATAGACCACACCTAAGAATCGCCATGTGCCTGAGAGCATTGTCCAAACACTTCTTGAACTCTGTCAGGCTTGGTGCTGTGACCACTTCCCTGAGGAGCCTGTTCCAGTGCCCAACCACCCTCTGGGTGATGAACCTTTTCCTGATATCCAACCTAAACTTCCATTCACACAACTTCAGGCCATTCCCTCTGGTCCTGTCACTGGTTGCCACAGAGAAGAGATCAGTGCCTGCCCCTCCTCTTCCCCTCATGAGGATGTTGAAGACTGCAATGAGGTCTTCCCTCAGTCTCCTTTTCTCCTGGCTGAAGAAACCAAGTGACCTCAGCTCCTCCTCATACGGCTTCCCCTCCAGACCCGTCACCATCCTCATGGCCCTCCTTTGGACACTCTGTAATAGCTTAATGTCTTTTTTACATTGTGTCCCCCAAAACTGCCACAATATTCAAGGTGAGGATGCCCCAGTGCAGAGCAGAGTGGGACAATCCCCTCCCTCGACCAGCTTTGCCTGGTGCTGCTTTGCCTGATGCCCCCCAGGACACGGTTGGCCCTCCTGGCTGCCAGGGTACTGCTGACTCATATTCAACTTGCCATTGACCAGGACCCCCAGGTCCCTTTCTGCAGTGCTGCTCTCCAGCCTCATTCCCCAGTCTATACACACAACCAGGGTTGCCCTATCTCAGGTGCAACCCTTGTTAAACTTCATATGGTTGGTGATTGCCCAGCCCTCTAATTTATGAAGGTCTCTCTGCAGGGCCTCTCTGCCCTCAAGGGATTCAACAGCTGCTCCCAATTTGGTTTTGTTGGCAAACTTAGTATTCCTTCGAATCCTGGGACCAGGTCATTAATGAAGATGTTGAAGAGCACTGGGCCGAGGATGGAGCCCTGTGGAACTCCATTAGTGACCTTGCACCATCCTGATGTCACCCCATTCACTGTAACTCTTTGTGCCCTCACAACTGGGTGAGCCAGTTGCTCACCCATCATGTAACATGGTTATCCAGCTGTGTGCTGGACATTTTGTCCAGAAGGATGAGAGACACATCCTTTGTGTGATACTGTGTCTGTGAGAGACCCAGTATCACACAAAGTACAAACATTACATCTGCAGGCTTCCCTTGATGGATCAGGCTATTTGCAGTGCTCTTGAGGAGACAGTAAATGTAGAGGTAAGTCCATGACTGCTTGCTGGCTCATGTATGTCAGGGTAGGACAAGGAACAGCCTGCCAAAGGGAGCGTCCAGCTCCCTCTCTTTATCTTTCTTTTTTTTTTTTTTCCCCTCCTCAGATTCATAATGTGGTATCTGAAGTCCGTGAGCACCATCCTGTGGCTGCAGCTAGTCAGAGTACTGTGACAACATTAAAAGGTCCTGAGGATCCCAGTGGTGGGTAAATAGATTCTCTAACTCTTTGTAGCCTTCAAATGACTTTATACTTTAATTTTTAATCCCCTGTTTGAATCAGAATTGAAATTAATATTTTAAGTTTATGCAAAGTGTGTGCTTTCAAGGGTAAGATGGCTGATTTTATTAATATCATTTTATTTTCCTGATTTACAATGCTACTTTTACACTATTTGATCACTTTTAGAGTTAATGATGTTTATTACTGTTGAGTTTACTCAGCTTTCTCTGGAAGGCACCTTTAACCTCCTTACGTAATTCCAGGGAAGAGCTCATGTTGTTGACAAGTTCAAGGTAAAAGTTAAAATGTAAAGCTTCCTTGAAAGAGTTTGTATAAGGTGCACATCTGGAAATAGAGCAAGATCAAAATATGCTTAATATTAATGTACAAATGATTTACCACTGTTTCCTTCTTGTGTTCCATTAAAAAAAAAAAGACAAAAAAACCCACCACACTGATTTTTAAGAGTAAATTTACTGAATATGAATTGGCCTCATGAATTTACCTTCCACTATTTTGAGTCAGACAAGCCTCAGTGATTTCAAAAGAACAAGAACAATTTACAGCCACCACATTTTAAAAGTATTCACATCAGCAAGATACGGACTATCCTTTGCTTGGCTAGTATAGATTCCACAAAATTTCTATAAATAGGATTACATGGCAATGATATTGAAAATACAGCTGGGAACAATTCCACTAATCCAACACAAGAAGAGAATAATTGCAGGCTCGTGACCACAAAGTGAGCTGGTTGAATATGTAGTGGTGTGATTGACCCAAGCAATGGACCACCAACAGCAATACTTGTGCGAACTAAACAGAAACCAAAATAATAGATGATTTTGGTGAGTGTGGGAAAGAATTGCACTGTAATTATCAATCTTTATCTTTTTTTAAATATCTTCTGCTTTTTAGGATATACTTAGAATATTTCTCTTTTTTGATATACTAATGAATGCAATATATACCATTTTTCACAAGACTTGGGAAATGAGAATATCAAGTTTGGGGGATATTTGCAAATGGCAAATAATTAAAAACTAATTGCATCTTTTATTCTTTTATTAAAATGATGTGTTTCAAGCTGACTAGCATTTTTAACTCCTAAACTAAAATATCTTACAAAGAGATGTACACTTTTAAATTCTCTTTCTTCCCCAGCATCCAAAAACTGTAGTCACATTCAAAGATTTTGACTATGGAACACCTATTTGAATCACTCAAACTAGTCCCTAGGCAAAAGAACAATTCATAGATTTTTTTAATTTTTTTTTTTTTGCTATTAAAAAACTAAAGAACACAAGAACAGAGGTAATACTTGAGATGATGCATAGCTGTCTTTTACATTTTGTAAATATTATTAAATATAATGGAACATACAATGCTCCTTGAAAAGTGGTTTGCCAAGATCAGTGTCAACACTTGCAGTAATTAGGTGATCTATGAAGTCATGCACTGAGAGAGCAGAGAAGGACTTAAAACTGTATTCTGCCCAAATTAAAAATACAGAAAAAATATCTTGATTGTGATCCACCTTCTCTAACGTATTAGTCATGCATGTTTACTTTTAAATTTTTCTCTTTGTTAGTTAAGACAATTTCATAATTATTTTGTGATATAAATATGCATTGAAATGACTTCTGAAAATGGTAGCTGTTTTTTGTGAAATATTTTTTTCTAGTGGCTTTCTTTGTGCTACAACTATTTCTCTGATATCAACCCCACAAATGTGACTTTTTACATCTCTGTTTTTAGGCAGGACTGTCAGAGTAGTCCAGCTTTGCTTCATTATTGGTTGACATGTCAGATGAGTCATTTTCATTTCCTTGATACTTTTTGGATTTCGGTGCTGTCAGCACTTTAGTGAGCTGCTAGGTTTATTCATCTGAAGCTTATTACACATAATGAGGTAAGTGAAAGGTATGCATAAGAAACCAGATTGATGCCATGACCACTGAAGTGTAACTGTTCATGTTTAGGGTTGGTCTTGCTCCTCCAAACGTACAGGAAAGAGAGCAAAACTGTGCAAAGGGAGCACAGGGAGATGGAAAAAAACCCAAATATTACTCAGTCATGTATTTTTCTGCTCTCTTCTCAGTAGGAGGTTTGGTACCAGAGGGTAATGGGAAGGATGACAAGGTTAGTGTTTCATAAAGTTAGTTTTTCATTCTGCAGTCAAACTAGATCTCTTCAGATTTGTGAGGTGTGATTGATCTATCCCGTGTTTATACTTCATCATCTGAGCTAGTTTCTGAGCCCTTGTCTGGCCAGTGGAACAACCATGGCTGTATGAGCCTGGCAACATGGCCAGGAGCTACTTTCCTCCTTCTTAGCCTCTGACATGTGCAGCTTATCCAGATCCATTTAGGGGAAGGAGTCCAGTCACATATTAAAATCTGTGAGCAGCGGGGAGGCTGAGTTCAGCTTGCTGAGAAACTGAAGATACTAATTCCTGCACCCACGGCCTCCTCAGAGCTGAGCACCAGAGAAGTGATGTTATCCTCTCTGATGTGCCTATGTACTCACAGGGCAGGAGCCCCTCCTACCTCACTGGACAGGGAGGGCTCGTGTGTGCTCTTTCTCCATCACGATGCAAGGGCAAGGAATTTCCTGGTCTGTTTCTGGGCAATGTTCTGGATCCATGAGCATTACACGGGATCGCAGAATCTCTGGAAGGCACCTCTGGAGAACATCTAATCCAGCCCCACTCTGTTCAAGGAGGGTCAGTTAGAGCAGGTTGACCAGAGCTATGTCAAGTTGAGTTACAAGTATCTCCAAGAATGGAGACTCCACAGCCTCTCTGGGTGACCTACTCCAATATTTGACCACTTTCACAATGAAGAATAAAAAAAAAAGGCAAAACACAAATGTTTTCTTGCACTCAGATGGAATTTAATGTGCTTCAATTTGTATCTGTTGCCTTTCACCCTGTTGCTTGGTACAAGGAGAAGAGTCTGGCTCTCTCTTCATTCCCTCTCATCAGTTATTTATTTATCCATATGGATAAGATCTCCCTGAGCCTTCTCTTTATGAGAGATGCTCCGAGCCCTTAACAATCTTCATAGTCTTTCACTGGACTCACTTCAGTACTTGACCCAGCATCCAGATGCAGTCTTGCCAAGACTGAGTAGAGGGGAAAGAACACCTCCCTCAGCCTTCTGTCAGTGCTCTTTCCCGTGCAGGCCATGAGGCTGTTTGCCTTCTTTGCTGCAAGGGCACATTCCTGGCTTGTCAGCAGCTGTGTCCACCACCCCAGGGCCTTTTCTGCAAAGTCAGTCAGCCACCAGTGTGTACTAGTGTCTGAGGTTATTCCTCCCTAAGGGCAGGAGCTTGCAAATCCTTTTGCTGATTTTCATGATGTTCCTATTTTGCTATTTCTCCTGCTGAAGGTGCTCCGAATGGTATCAGAACCTTCTTATGCATCAGACGCTCCTCCCAGGATTTTTACTATCTCCAAACTGGTTCAAGGTGCATTCTCCACCATTGATCAGTCCAGTAATGAAGAGTCAAAAACAGTATTGGGGCCAGTATCAACCCCCTGGGTACATCTCCAGTGACTGACCTTCAATTGGACTTCATGCTGCTGATCAGAACCCTTTGAGCCCAGAAATTCAGCTGGTTTTCAATTCACGTCACTGTCCACTTATTTAGCCTGTGCCTCATCAGTGTGTCTGTAAGTTGTGGGGAAAAGCATTACTAAAGATTGCAGTCAAAGTGCAAAATCCTTTGATCACTGCTCCCGTTTGCTCCCAGGCTACATGCTGAGACTTCATCGACCATCTCGAGAGAGCGCCGAATCTGGTGGGTAGGTCCTGGGACACTGCCAGCATGGAGGTAGGGTGCCCTGAGTAAAGAAGAAAGACTGGACTTTGTGATGTTTGGATGTACCAGCACCTGGAAATAGGTAGGTACAAATACAATATTTGGCTGGTAAAAGCTGTCTCTGGAGTATGCTGCAGGGCAGAGTAAGTTGCAGCCCACCAATGGTACAGTGTAACACAGAGAGGGAAGGATTCCCCCATTTTTTACTGAATAAGCAAAAGAGCTACAGATTCTGGCTGGCTGTGCAAGAAGTAATTTTCTTTGGAATGAGATCCTGGTTGAAATGAATATTTAAACCCAGTAAGTGCTGGAAGCTATACCATGGTGGTCTCTGTAATAAATACCATGGGTAACGAATGCAAAAGGTGTCTGGAACAAGGAAGAATTCTTTTCCAAATAGCACATATCTTAAGCTGTTACCTAAAAGAAGCAGAGTTTCTTGTCCATTTCCTACTGAGCTTCTGCTCTGAGCTCCTACCCTACACACCCTTGAACGCTGTAATTACACACCTCTGGTCTGCCTCGATCTACTTTAAGAACTTTTCTAGTACACGTTTGACATGAGGAACAAGAGTGATCAAGTGCTGTTCAATGACCTGTCCTTCCATCTTGTAGATTACTGAAAAATTAAATTTTCCATTTTTCTTATCTGTAATTTTTAGAAAAGCATGCCTATTCATTAGACTCTGAAAAATAATTAAGATTTGTCCTAGAATAATATCACATGACAACACATAGGATTTTTTATGCCACTGAATAGACACCCGGACAACTCTCTCCTTTCAGATAGTACTTCATATTGCTCACAAATTTTATTCATCTAAACTGATTCCTTTGTTCAGTTTTAAGGAGCCTGGTTCTCTTTGCTGCTTTTGTTTTAAGGGATTTGAAGTGGATGATGAAAGTCAGAGGTGGGTACTTTGTTCCCCTACACATTTTCAAGTGTTACGATTGGAATTTTCAGGAATAGGCTTAGTTTTCCAATATTTGTTTAAGCACATGTTAAACTTATAAAGTTAGCTTTCCATGAATAAAATATTGAATTGACCTTAGCAGAAATTTTCTTAAAGAGAAATGGTACTGTGATTTGTATTTGCCAAAGAAAAGGCAAAAAAATTTTTGTAAAAATTTTTTGTAAAAAATCGTAGCCTGTGTTTCAGAGTAATAAACATGTGAATAGAGAAATATTTATATTTTTATTTACTGCAATCAGCTTAATAAAATTACCCCCACTCAAATACTCACTGAAGAAACTGAGTATGCCTTCCATATTTATATTTCAGGGGCATTTAACTGTCAGTACTTTTTCCAATACATATCAATACTAAAAATCAGTATACTGGAAATCTCACTTTGTCAGATATGAGAAGAAGAATTTACAGCAGTTAGAAACATTTTTTTTCGGCTGTGAAGCAATAACAGAGGGGGGCAGTCTTGGACAAACATCTCTTCTGTGTATTCACAAATCTCTATCTTTTGAGCTTCTGAAGATCCAAATTCAAGTACTGTGTCTGCTGAAACACAACCCTTTGGTCTACATTGTAAGAGTCAAGAAACTAACAGCTGTAAAGACCTGTTTTACTCTGCTTCTGTGCAGAAGGATTCCACTCAGCCGAAGCCAGCTCATATGAAACTCCTCCATGGAGAAAAAGGTGCTGCCATGGGATGGACTGTGGTGGTGCTCAGGGTTACAGCTAAAGTCAGAGTGGTACCTGCAGTGCAAGAGTATGTGTGACTGTCTTCAATGAGCTGTCCCTACGACTCAGATTGTCATTTGGTTTGCCAAGAATTGCTGTCATAAAGAGAAGAAGGAGGCTGTTCTCGTTCTGCCCTGCATCTGTTGTAGAATTAGGTTTGTGTTGCATGTGCACCCAGGAAGTGCTTGGACACTTCCCACTGAACATGATTTAAGCACCTTAAATATAAAGCAAAAAAATAACAGGAAATTACACAGGAGGAAAGCAAGTGTATAAACTAACCTTAAATAGCCAGCAGTAATTATGCTCCAAAGTGATTGATCTGATAACTTAAAGAATTATAGGGTATTGTGACAAAGAATGAGAAAGCGGAAAAAAGGAGAGGCAGTAGTTTACAACCACAAAAAGCAGATAACATCTCAAAAGCTTCTGGGTTAGCCCTTTTTCTTTGTTTCTTTTCCTCACTCTCAATACTCAGATTCTGTATTTTATGCTATTGTTAAACTTTTTGCAGCATCTGAATCTTGCCCCGAACATCACCTCAATTATTTTTTTCACAAAACTCAGGTAAGAACAGGACATTTGGCAACATTCCATCCGTGAGTCCACCTTTTTTTAGTATTTGTTTATTAAACTGTAGTGACTGACTTCTCATCTCAGGCTTCTTGGCCTAGCACTGTAATCCCCATGTCATTGCTTTTTCGCGGTTTCCTTTATATTTTTCTTTTGTTTGGACCCTATTGTAATCTTTAATTTACTGGTGGCAACCTTCATGAATTCTAATTTAAATGTCCTTGTAGTATTGGCACTGGCCACAGTAAAGTTCTCTGTCTTGCAGTGCACAGAAAAAAGTTTGTCTATGACTTGTTTAAATTAACACAGTGCTTAAGGTCAGACAGGTTACAAGGCTCTGACGAAAATAATGTCTCGTTTCTTACACAGTCTTTCTTACAGCATAATCTTCAGAGATAATGATGGAATAGTACATGTTCTTCACTATCTTATAGAATCAAAATCTCTGTCCTGTGGTTTGCAGTCTTGGAAGAATAGCCCAAACATCTACTTTAGACCACTGGGCATTTCACAATGTTGTTGTTGTTAATAATAAAAATATTAGTTAATCATAAATCTATTATTGTTGTTATTGTCCAGCACTTGGAAAGGAACTTCTTCCATTTGGTCCATCAGCCAATCTGTCCCTTCAAATAGCAACATTTGACCTGGAGAATTAGTCCTTAGAATCTGGAAGCTCTGAATGCTTTTGCACTGAGAAGCGAGCATGTGAGTCCTTGTAGTAACAGACCGTATGTTCATATTGCTTTTGCATATGCTGTTTTGTTAGAACTAATATTAGCCTGTGGAAGAGACTGAGTATCCAAACAATTAGACAGCAGTTCAACTACATCAAGATGCATCACAATCCTATTTTATCTTGTGCGATTCTTTTTTCCCAAAGCCAACTGAAGGAATACTTTGCCTTCCTGTCTCCCATATAGCACAGGTAGCTCTCCATGGGGAAGTCAGACTATTCTGTGACTGATATTAATCTTTGGAAGGCTCCATCTCTCATCTTCCCTGCACTCTGTCACTGTTCAGGCTGCCAACCTGGAAAGTCTGGGAAGCTGAGCAGGAGAGTGCGGTTTTGGACAATGAGCTTTTCTCAGTAAAATAATTCTGCATTGGACCTAAAATATGCAAACTGTAGGATCCTGCAATAGGGACTTGAATCTTTGCACTGATAAAACCAACCTGGTTGGAGTTTCACTGTGTTCCATTACAATCAAGAGCAAAATTCACTGGTGGGGAAAAGAGAGAATAGGATCAGCTATAAGCATCTTTGAAATTCTGTAATCTTCTGGCTCAGCTCTCACACACAGGAGCTCTCCTTGAGCAGTTTTCCACCAGGTGATGCAGAACCATCTAGATATCTGTCCATTACCTGCTTCTGTACTGTATCAGAGAAAGAGGAACAGGCATTTTGTTACTGGCATCAGTTGTGAAGCATAAAGGTACATTCCCTAAAATCGTGTTTCTGCCCTTCTTTACAGTCTGAAGTTAATTTTCTTTGCATTATATCTGCTGATATTTTTAAAGACTTCTGTAATTACTGTCTACACACTAAAGGAAAAAGAAATAACTGGAAAAAAATTAAGAACAGCTTTATTTCTCCATTGTATTACATTCTTACTACATTTTATCTTTAAAAAAAATCTGCCTATGGCCATTTGCCATGTTCAAAAAGTATTACATTCATAAGACAAGTAAGTTCAGATTGCTGAGTAGGTTCTGTTAATTTTCAAAAATTTTCCTCATGAAACTTATAAAATCTTTCATAGGATATAAAATTTTCTCAGCAGAGTAACACTGTGATAATGCAATGCTGTGGCTTATTTCTGGGTTCACAGATGAGAGCCTAGTGTGCCACACTGAAAGTGGCCCATTAAAACAAGTGCCTGACTTGGTGCTTTAGTGATGCTGAATCACTACCTCATGTATCAGTGTGTATTGACACAACGATAATCCACTCTGGGTTTTGCTGACTTTTTTTTCTAGAGCGATTTAGGGAACCATCTTAGTCCAATCTGTGCTTCTCACATTCAGTAGTATTTCTTTTTAAACCAAGGCTGCATTTGGTGGTCAAGTCCAGTTCAGATTTACAAAATAACTTCCTAAATATGAGTTGTCTTATCTTTCTGCTGTTAAAATCAGCCTGCCAGTAAGAAGTCAGATTGTAATTTCTAATCTTATAGTCAGGTGGCATTTTTGTACACTTAATGGAATTATTCCTGATTTTTGAGTGAGTAAATAAAACAGAAGCTCACCATAAATATTTATAATCACTATTGTTATTTGTCTAACTGCATTCTCAAACAATTTTCAACACTATTTGTTAAACTGGTGTTAATTTTCTTCACTTACTTAGTGAGTGTGTAAGATTTCTAGGACTTAATGATTAATGTCAGTAACAAAATTAGAATTATTAATGAAGGTAACATTAAACATCTGAACTCTTCATAATTTGCAATCTTTTTGCAAGAGTGAAACCCACATTTTACAATTGTCATTGTTCAAAAGATGTTAACCCGTCATATTTATTTACAAATTCCCACTTATATTATTGTACTGAAAATATTGTATGAGCTGTAGCAATACTCATGGTTTAGCTATGAAGTTATTCCTTTGAAAAGGCTTCCCGGTGCTTGCTTTTAGCGACAGGCAGGAATGTGCCGGACAAATCGAGCCCAGAACTGAACATGCTGCTGAGGGTGTTTTGTACAACTGCCTTCTCTACAAACCACAGGCTGTTCTTGTGGCTTTGCTTGGGTAAACATGGCTCTGGCTGCGCGGGGAGGTTGCGCAAGGCAGTGCGAGGTTTGGCCTCCAC